ATTTATACAAGTTAAAAAATTAATAGATTATCATGTGTTCTATCAATTTCTATCCTTATTTTCCGATCTTTATTAACAATTTTTTTTTTTATAATTCACAAAAAACTTCCCTTAAAAACGCACTTTTTTCAAGATTGAAGTTGAAGTATAAAAAAATATGCAGTTTTAAAAGCAAAAATATATGTAATTTTATGAGTAGAAAAAGATTTTCTAAGCTTGTAATGGAGGTTATTTGGGTAGGTTTTACATAAAATATGAAAAAATAGAAAAATTACATTATTTCTTAATATTATTAAACTTTTGGAGCGTAATTTTTCCATTTTGGTTCTAAGTAAATCGCCTTTGTAAATTAAGTGAATATTGTTCAAAAAGATCAAAACTACCTATGTATATCTCAAATTTTGTAAGTTTATTAATAATACTGGCGTAACTACTTTAATTTTTATAATTAAACTAACTTTAAATTTTGTTTAGCAACTTCAGAGCGTAATTTCGGCACTTTGGACCTAAGTAAATTGACTTTGTAAATTAAGTAAAAAATGTCAGTAATGTCAAAAGTATTTGTATTTTAAATTTTATGAATTTTTGATTAATACTTATGGCGCAATTGTCATTGTTCATCATAATAGTACTAATTTTTGATCTTTTATTTTTTTTATTTTTAATATAAAAAATACATTAACTTTAAATAAAGATTCAAGTTGAATAATAAAGATTATGTGAATATTTTTTTAATAAAATTGTAGAAGTGGTCACTAAGTTTAAAATTTTTTTTTTAATTAAACTGATTATATTGTATAAATATGATGTGATATATAACCTAAATTTTTTCATTTTACCTAAATTTAGGCCAGCATTATGAATCTGGCCAGAATTAACAAAATTTTGGCCAGAATTATGAATTATTGATTTGCAAATTTATCCTGATTTAATTAATTTTGGCCAACTTTGATTATATACATATATTGTATACTTAAAAAGAATATTGTATCACAAATTTTTTTTTACCAACTTTAGTAAAAAAATTTTGCCTTCTTTTTTTGTGACATTTCCGGTAACTGATATGAATAATTTTTGATAACTCAAAAGTTATCATTAAATAAATGTTTACAATTGGGGACGCCCACAGCAAAAGCCGGGGCTCGGCCAAAATTTTGATTTTAAAATTTTATTATAATTATATATTTATTAATCCAATCTTTTAGAGAAAAAAAAAATTTTTTATTCATAGCATATTAAAAAAATATAATATTTTATAATTTATGATTTTTGTATTTTTATTTTATTATATTTAATGGATAATATAAACTTGCTAGAAAAAAAACCAATGTTTTAATGAATTTCTTGCAAAATTTTACCCTAGTTTGCAAAAAACTGATTTCAAAAATCTTTAAAAATGATAAAATAAATTGCGATTTACTAAATTAACCAATAATATTAAATTGTGATTTTCGCAAAATCACGTGATTTGCCGAGCCCCGGCTTTTGCTGCGGGCATCCCCAATTATTGTAAAATTAATATATGTCTGATATTTGGTAAAATCTTTATGAATTATTTTAGGAACTAATTTATTAACAATAAATAAAATAAAGTGAAAAATCAAAATTTTATACATAATTATGTAGAATTTGTGAAAAAATTAATTCAATGGTATTTTTTTATATGATAATATTAGATAAGTGATCGGCAAAATGATCAGCAATATTGTGATAATATGGGGATGTCTGCCCTGTTAGGCTGCAATATATATGTATATATGATCCACAATTTATAAAGTTATATAAGAATATTTTAGGATTCAAAAAAGGAAATAACACAAAATGTCAAAATGTAGACGTTTTGCATAAGATAAACAAATTTTACATTTTTATATTTTTATAATCTTCTGTTTTGCTGTGGAGAAAGACATAGTGGACATACTTTATATCACTTTACCGATCATTTGCCGATATAATCAGCAAAAACCAAGTATAGAATTAATGAAAATAAAAGTCATACTAGGTAAAGTAGGAATTATGGAATTAAAGAAATAGAATTAAAGATTCACCAATAATGCAGATCATTATTCTGAGTTATGAATATAAACTGATCCAGGATACGATCTATATAAAGATATGATGTACAGTCAACTCCCTCTATAGTCACTCCCGTTATAGTCACATTCTACTATATAGTCACACCAGTTGAATGTTCAAAACACTTTATTATTAAAATCTATCCTATATAGTCACAATCTATCTATAGTCACTATCACACCTATCCTCAAAAATCTTATATTAAAAAGAACTAAGGCTCTGATCGGTTTTGTTCGGTACAGTTTTTGCCAAAACCGAAACCGAACCGAATTGATCGGTAACGGTATTGTTAATTACCGAAACCGATCGGTTTCGATAATCATCAATACCGAAACTGACCGGTAATTACCGAAAACTGAACCGATTTACTGATTCATTATCGCGGTTCGTTTTTAACATTTTCGTAATGTTTTTTATTAAAAAAACGTGCGAAAACTTTTTTTTTTGGTGAAATTATTAATAAAAAACGTTTTCGCAACATTTTTTGTTAAAACAATTGAAAATGTTGCGAAACGTTTTTTATTATTAAAGGTATTGTGTATCACGTGATAGTTTCATATTGATTGACATGGCAAATTTTATATTATATAGTAACGCAAATTTCTGTGCAATATAAACTTTTGTTATACTTAACATAAAAGGATAAAAATTATATGGTTAGAAAGCCACATTTTCGAACTTTGTCTATTGACTTTAAAAAACTTTATTCCTTAAAAAAAATTTTCAAAAACCCTCATATGAAATTGCGAATAGGAATATATGATTTTGCGAATAGGCAATCTTAAATTTTATTGGTTGTTTATATTAAATGTAACACGCGATGATATATAAAATGTAAACAAATGATCGGCAAAAAAATTTGCCATACAATATATATTAAAAAATCACATACTACACACTACCTTTAAATTACTTGATAAAAAACATTTTCGCAACGTTTTTTGGAAAAACAATTAAAAACGTTTGCGAAAAACATTTTTTTTTTATGAAATTATTAATAAAAAATGTTTCGCAACGTTTTTTGTTCAAATAATTAAAAACGTTGCGAAAAACGTTTTTATTTGCTAAATTACATGTTAAAAAACGTTTCACAACGTTTTTTAACTATTTTAATAAAAAACGTTGCGAAACGTTTTTTTATTCATTAATTTAATTGTTAAAAAATGTTTCACAACGTTTTTTAACTGCTAAAATAAAAAAATGTTGCGAAACGTTTTTTTATTCATTAAATTACATGTTAAAAAACGTTGCGAAACATTTTTTTATTCATTAATTTAATTGTTAAAAAACGTTTCGCAACGTTTTTTAACTGTTAAAATAAAAAAACGTTGTGAAACGTTTTTTTATTCATTAATTTACATGTTAAAAAATGTTTCGCAACGTTTTTTAACTATTTTAATAAAAATGTTGCGAAACGTTTTTTTAAATAACTATTTACCGAAACTGACGGTAAATATTTACCGAAACTGATGGTAAAATTTACCGAAACTGTCAGTAAATATTTACCGAAACTGATGGTAAAATTTACCAAAACTGATCGGTAAACTTATCGAAAGTTTTGGTTCAGTAAATCGGTTCAGTAAATCGCAAAACCGATACCGAAACCGCAGTTACCGAAACCAATCGGTAATTTACCAAATGATTCGGTATCGGTAAATTGCAAAACTGAAACCGATCTGATACCAAAACCGATCGGTTCAGTTCGGTATTTACCGATACTGATCAGAGCCCTAGAAAAGAACCGTTTATAATCACAGTTATATAAAGAATATATTAAATAACTTGGCATCTAATAATCGAACAAAAATGTATCATAACTTGTTAGAATCGTTTCACTGAGACGAATCGAATGGTGGTAGTTTTATCCTTTTCCTTTGCAAGTGTTTACGGCCAGACCACCCATTGCCTCTTATGAGACTAATCTCGGGTCTGTGTCCTATCATCTTCAATGGGCAACC